TTTTTTTTCTTTTAGAATAAGCAATACTCTATGAAAATAATTTGAACTCAAATGTAGAATATTTATTTTCTGCCTAGACAGTAGAAACTACAAATCTGCTTTTTGTGGAAACTTAATATGAAACTTTTAACTAGAGGATTTTGAAGATCTCATTTCTAGTATCTTTTGTGCAACAAAGAAGTAGAATGTAGAAAATTGTAGTCTTTAATTCTAAGTCGGGTTTTGACAGTGTGTACAGTAATAGTGTTTTTCCCCCTCAAATTACTCTAAATGAATTTAATAAACCTCTTAACAAGAGTTAAAACAAATATTTGGAGGAAACTTCTTTAGCATAGGTCATTCTAGTAGTATGGAAGTAAATTTTTATTATCAATAAGGTAGGATATGATTAAATCTTCAAAATGATTAATTCCTTAGGTTTGAATATATCAATGTAAGAAAGAAAAAGAGGGAAGGTCTAACATTTGGACAAGTGTTTCTTTATTGAGGGAATATAAGGTTGCCTATTATTTTAATATTTAAGTTTACCTTTATAAAAGCGTCTTTACTCAGTTTTCTTAAAAGTCAAACCAATGGTTTCTTATTTGAAATATATTTTTTCCCTTTAAGTTAAAAGTTTGTCCCTAAAAATAAAAGTAATTAAATTGTTTTGAGGGATTATATGTTTTTAGATGTATATACACCACATTATGAACTTTTCATTTATTTCCATTCAAACAGCTACTTTAAATACTGATTTCAATGTACCTTCATGAACTAGAATATACATCTTGATACTGGAACACAGATATTACATATGTTCAAATGTTGTTTAGTATTTTTGCTTAAAATGAAAATTTTTGTTACATTTTTAGTTATAAACATTAAAAATATTAGTATAAACCCAAATTTTTAATACATTGCTATAATCCCAAATTTTTAATACATTGCTTTTCTAAAGGAAACATAAAAATGTTCTAAAGCCAAAATGGAAAAAAAATATTTTTCCTTTTTAAACTTGTGTTAAAATTTTTGTTTGGAATTTTCCTTTGTTACATTTGTGTCATCTTTATATAGGAACTGATAAGAAGACTTTTCCATTTCCCAATGGAAAAGTAGAGTGAAAAAGTTGGGTATGTTCAGGGAAACAAAAAATATTTTTGAAACCTATTTTTCCATCTGAAACACTGCAATGAAAATTCGTTGGAATCTCAAAGAAAAAAAATGTTTTTTTTCTCTGTAAATTGCTAATAATCCCAATAGGGCAAGATCTGGAAGAGTTAGATATTATTTGAGTGTTTTTCTTCAGCATTCATGGTAGCTTTTAACTCTCCTTACTTCTCAGAAACCTTTATAATGTTAGAGGTGTTTGCTGAATTTTTAAGTGATTTTTCCTATTGAGGAATTAAACAAGTTACTATTATTTTACTTTGATTGGAATTTTCAGTGAGCAAATGAAAGCTATCAGTTCACTGGAGGTTTCTTTTATAGTAGTTTGGCCCTGTGCATTTTAAGAATTTTTTGATTTAGCCATATTCAGTGGTTCTGCATGTCTGTAATCCCAGCAACTCAGGAGGCTGAGGCAGGAGGATCAGAAGTTCAATACCAGCCTCAATAATTTATTGAGGCCCTTAGCAACTTAGCAAGACTTTGTCTCCAAATAAAAAATAAAAAGGGCTGGGGATGTGGCTCAGTGATAAAGCACTGCTGGGTTCAATCCCCAGTAAATACCCCCCAACACACACACACTAAAAAAGAATTTTATAATTTAATTCAAAGTATTGAACTTTGAACAAACTAACAGAACTGTACTGTAAATCTTGTCTAGTTAAGTGCTCACGCCATCCTCTCTTCTACTCCACCCCCTTAAAAAGAGTTGTACTTAGGTTAAGAATCTGATTAGTTTCTGGCAAGTAAATAGATAAATTATACTAACATCTTCCATGATCTTCTAGTGCTGTTGTAATGAGTCTGTGAAGGTTATGATAGTGCTAAATTTTTGCTTTAATAGACTAAGGACCTTCCAGAATTCAAAACCCATACAGTTAAATTTATTATTACGGCCAGATTAGAGAAAGTAAAAATTTTAATTGTTAGGTTTTCTTGAAAAATAAAGTTTATTCCTTCTGCTTTTAGATTATAGTTACATATTTAGAAACGTTGATGTAAAATTGTTTTTAATAGTGTTATATTCAAAGGTCGCCCCCCCCAAAAAAAAAACAGTTTTCTGAACTAGATTGAAAGTTAAGTTGTTAAAAATAGATTTTATTTATTCTAGTTCATTTCAAATAATTTCAGAATTCATTCAGCAAATATTGAACAAGTGTTGTCTATGCACCAGGTTTTCTAGAAGATTCTTAACCCCCATGGTGCTCACAGCTTAGTAAAAGGATCTAGGCAGTAAGCAATAAACATAATAAATGATATTGAATGTCAGAGGGTGATAAATGCTATGGAAAATAGAAAAAGTAGAACAATGTCAGGGATAAAGGAAGAATTGGGATTGGATGGGGTGGTAAGAGCAACTTACAGTTTAAAATAGGGTAGCTATGGCAAGCCTTTGAACAAGAGACTTAAAATTGTGATGAGGGATTTGGCCGTGTGGCATCTGAGGAAGAAGAAAGTGAGAGTAAGTGCCATAAGATAGCAACATACCTGTCATGCTTAAGGAATTCAAGGGAGCCAGAGTGTCTGAAGCACAGGGATTGTAGTAATAAATGACCATTTATATAGGATTATGTCAAATGCTGCTATGGGAAGGATATGTGTAGAAGGGTGACATAATCTGACTTTTAAAGCTTTATTATGCTTCTGATAGACTAACCAGAGAACTATTGATAATTGTCTTATGTGGTGAAGGGTAATAATTTTTGCAGTAATTCTAGCAAGAGATCAGCATGGCCAGAGAAGTTGTAGATGTGTTGAGAAATCAGATTCTGATTATGTTTTCAATGTAGAGAAAGTGAAATATTTAATGTGAAGAGGGAGGAAAGGGTTTTGATCTGAACAAATACAAGTATAAAATTTCTATCAGATGAAATTGAGAGCCTGCGGATAGAACAGATTGGTTGAGTGGAGGAGATTGGGAATTTGGTTTTGCCCATTTAGTTTGAGATGTCTATTTGATTTCCCAGTGGACAAGTAGAGTGAACAGTTGGTTATATGTGTCATGGATTCAAACTAGAGTTCTATGCTAACACTTCCAATAGTATTTTATAGCACACAAATTGCTTTATATGGTAAGTATAAGTATATAACATATTTACTCTTTTTTTTGGTACCAGAGATTGAACACAGGTGCACTTGACCACCAAGCCACATCCCCAACCATATTTTGTATTTTATTTAGAAACAAGGTCTCACTTAGTTGCTAAGTGCCTCGCTTTTGCTAAGGCTGGCTTTTGAATTGCAATCCTCCTGCCTCAGCCTTCTCAGCTGCTAGGGTTACAGGCATGCACCACCATGACCAGCAACATATTTACTCTTTAAATAGTCTTCTCCTGAAATATTGATTAATTTCTTTATTTACCAGAAGTTCTGAGTTTCCTCTTTTGGGAACTTATAAATAATCATGTCATTTAAATTATTTTGCATTTTGAATGAAGGCTACTTAATAAGTTTTATAAAAATCTACTTATAAGGCCAATAAAATAAAAATCATCATTTGTTGATGAACACATGCCAAAAGTATAAAACTCTTAAAGGGAAAAGATCATTGGATACCATTTTGTACAATCTCAGTAACTGTCTCTCATAATATAAGTCAATATTAAGTGGTTTTTTCCAGTCATTCCTAATGGCATTTACAAAATGGAATGAAAAATGAGAGGTTCTTGATGTCTTTTTCAAGGGAAGTCTGTTAATTAGAAAATCAATTTGATTGTTATTTTTTAGCTACTGTATTTCTTGCAACTTAAATATCTGATGAATAAATAATGACTTTATTTTAGCTAGTGATTCTATGAAGAAAATTGTTGTGTCTTTCAGACATATTGATTTACAGTGTTCAATATTTTATTGAAAAAGGCTGTTTCATCTGTTTTACTCTGTTCAGAAAAGGAGGACCAATGTCTCATGCCCAAAGCCTGGAATGTCGACCAGGGAGTAATTACCAAACTCAAGGAATGATACAAAAAGGAGAGAAAGGGGAAAAGGGGGGTGAAAAGTAAGTGGAAAACATTGAATTTATAAATAATAAATCTTGTCTCTTTTACATCTCCCAAGTTTTTTTTTCCTCCAATGTTTTCCTAAAACTACTTACTCTTTTTCTTTTTTGCTCCTAACTACTTTCCTTTTCACCTGCTCTCAGGGGTTGAAATTAAATTGTTAGCTATTTGATTATGAACTTAAAATCATGATCATAGAATCACAGTATATCCCAATAACAAATTTAGACAATCGTGAGAGTGTTGGGCTATGTATTCAAACATGATGATAAATTGATTTTTAAAAGTATGTATGCTTAGCCAGGTGTGGTGGCGCACGCCTGTAATCCCAGCAGCTCGGGATAGCTGAAGCAGGAGAATTGTGAGTTCAAAGCCAGCTTCAGCAAAAGCGAGGCACTAAGCAAAGCAACTCAGTGAGACTCTGTCTCTGAATGGAATCCAAAATAGGGCTGTGAATGTGGTTCAGTGGCCAAGTGCTCCTGTGTTCAATCCCCAGTACCAGAAAAAAAAGTATGTATGCTTCATTGTAATGATATTTATTTCCAGTGGCAATTTATAAATCTCATCTAGTATACCTCACTGGCAAACCACTGTAATTACTGCTTTAAAAAGTATTTGTTTTCTAATTTTTTAAATTAGAAAACAAATTAATTAAATTTAAAATTAAATTAATTTTTAAATTTTTTTTCTAAAAGTTTTGGCCAATTTAATTTATAGCAATATTACCAATTGCCTTTTTTTTTCAATAAATTTTGTGCCACATCAAAAACAAGCCAAAATGAAATCTTTAGCCCTGTAAATCATATAACTTTCTATGCAAATGAAAAGTTAGAAATAGAGCTAGTTAAGTATAAAAATGGAAATTCCCTAAAAACAATCTGAATTATCTTTTTAGGAGGGCAAGACTAAAAACTTCCTTGTGCTTCTACCCTCATTGACAATATGATCATGGATCTCTCTTCTGTCAGAATGGGAATTTCATCCTTTGAGATATGAAAGTAGTGTAAATAGAGGTTGAAATCTAAACTTAGTGAGTAATATATTTTTATAAATTGCAAAGGACTAGAGGGATGTCCTCCCCCACTTTTTACTGATGTTAAAGCTTATCAAAGATCAGTCATCCCTATTAAGATATCCTTTTACAACATAGTAGTTACTTAAAAACATTTAAGTCTTTATTTTAAAGGATCTTTGAATTTACCATTGTTCAGCTTAATTTTAAAAAAGGTTTGTGTCCACTATTGATATTAGCATAGTCTCAACAATTTTATGAGAGATGATATAATTTAATGCTATGTAACATAGATAAAATCAGAATGATATTAATATAAAACATAAGAACATTCTGTGCCCTTTATTCAAATATACTGATAAAAAATTAACAAACATAATGAGACATAATTTTACATTCCTTTTTGTAGCCATGTCCAAAC